ACGAGTTAATTAGTTATGAAAAAATAACACGATTAAAATATTTTAACGCACTGGCCCCACCCCCAGACCTGTACGTCATCTTACACTTCATATAATTAACTGTTGACCATAATATGGTGCAGGACAACCACTCCATAAATGCAGTTATGCCCTAAAAATTCAAGATATTGGGGCAAAAAAATGCCCCTGTATGAGTTTTTGTCTCATATTTTATATCATATGATATCACACCAGCAGCGAAAGCAATATCACACCAGTGCTGTTTTTGTCCCATATATCACGAGTTTAAATGTGATTTTATACAACAGTTCAGTAAATAAGAAGTTAATATTGTGTAAAACTTAAACACAATATTGGGCGTTTTGTTCAATTTTGCCAACAAAAATATTACCTATAAAGCCACAGCAGAATTGTTGCGCGTCTCCGAGCAACACAACGGTGTTTAGTTTCTGAATGAATCTGCGTTTTGAACGAATCGAGTGAATCAATGATTCAAAGCCCTGTTCATAGAGAGAGCCGTTTACTTCATTCCTGAATTAATCCGCGTTTTGAACGAATTCGAGTGAATCAATGATTCAGTAGCCCGTTCATAGAGAGAGCCGTTTACTTCATTCCTGAATGAATCCGCGTTTTGAACGAATCGAGTGAATCAATGATTCAAAGCCCCGTTCATAGAGAGAGCCATTTACTTCATTCCTGAATGTATCCGCGTTTTGAACGAATCGAGTGAATCAATGATTCAAAGCCCCGTTCATAGAGAGAGCCGTTTACTACATTCTTGAATGAATCAGCCGTTTGAACGAATCGACTCATAAAGACATTTAGCACCACCTGCTGGTCGTTTTAGTTTCTTTTTTAGAGTATCATTTCATTTATTAAAAAATAAATAAATAACATTAAAGGGATAGTTCATGATTTTATACAACAGTTCAGTAAATAAGAAGTTGATATTGTGTTATATTTTAAACACAATAGTATGTGTTTTTGCTCAATTTTGCAAAGAATATATTACCTTTAAAGCCACAGCAGAATTGTTGTGTATCTCCGAGCAGCACAGAGGTGTTAGTTTCTGAATGAATCCGCGTTTTGAACGAATCGAGTGAATCAATGATTCAAAGCCCCGTTCATAGAGAGAGCCATTTACTTCATTCCTGAATGAATCCGCGTTTTAAATGAATCGAGTGAATCAATGATTCAAAGCCCCGTTCATAGAGAGAGCCGTTTACTTCATTCTTGAATGAATCAGCCGTTTGAACGAATCGACTCATAAAGTCATTTACCGCCACCTGCTGGTAGTTTTAGTTTCTTCTTTAGAGTATCATTTCATTTATTTAAAAAAAAAACCTTAAAGGGTTAGTTCACCAAAAATAAATAAATAAATTCTATCATCATTTACTCACCCTCATGTTGTTTCAAACCTGTATGACTTACTTTCTTTTGCACAACATAAAAGAAGGTATTTAGAAGACTGCTGGTAACTAAGCTGTCTTGGTCACTAGTGACTTTCATTGCATGAAAAAAAATACTGAGATGTTTTGAAAAATTATCTTCTTTTATGTTCCATACTTTGTTAGGCCGCTGTAGCCTAAACATTTAACACAATAATAGGTTTAAATGATCTTTTAGGGGTATTTTCACAGATAAATTTAGTTAGATTAATTAATTGCAGCACCCTGTAATTAATTAGATAAAAATTGTAATCGACTGGCAGCCCTAATATATATATATACACGATTAATCGCATCCAAAATAAAAGTTTTTGTTTACACAATATATGTGTGTGTACTTTATAATTTTATATAATTTTATATTTTAATTATTATTTGTGTTATAATTTGTTTTATTTATAAAATTACACAGACACACATATTTATATAATATTATTTATTTAATATTTCTATTTGTAATATTTATGCATAGTATAAATCATATTAATATGAATATACACATGTAAGTATTTCTTAAATCTGTACATGCATGTGTGTGCGTGTTTATATAAACATACACATGACACACACACATACATTATGAAAACAAACTTTTATTTTGGATGCCATTAATCGTGATATATATTTTTTATTTTTCTAATTTTGATCTGCGCTTTAGTAGTTCATAGCTTGTTGTGAGAGCTTGTGTAGAATAAAAAATCAGGCCAGAATGAGTCTACTGAGAATATTATAAAGACATCTGTACAATAATAAACATAATCAATTATACCTGTTAATTCAAAAGATTGATGCCTGTTATACAAATAGAAATATTTCCAGTAAAACAAACTGAATTGACGTTCAATTGAAAACGAATATAGAATTTTTTCATAACACTATGTGATTGAACATTTACCGATGTAAGTATTAAATAATGTACTAATGTTATTATTAGTGTTTATAGTGAAACTGACAAAAAAATGCTTCTATACGAGTTGCATACATTTGATTTCTATAAATCTTTCGTTCAATACAAATATCGAATATTATACAGTTATGCATACAAAAATAAATCAGAACAAAAGGGCAGGGAAAAAACTGAAAGCAGCTACAAAAATAAAAGCATTTTTCACCCTATATAGAACACAGTGTTCCGTGAAGATGTTTTTAATCTTTCAGGCGTCTGCAGCGAACACTCCCACAGAGCTTGCCTCAACGGCTAGAAGGGATACGTATGGCGCTACTGAGCATGCGCACATCAATACAGCGTAATTTTTGTCACACTGTACAACAATAATTACAATTTTTTAATTATTGTAAGGGGTAGTTTTAGGGTTGGGGTAGGTGTAGACGTTAATAAAACACAATCTAATAGGTAGAAAATTAATTTAATTGTTCGTTTCCGGTCTGAGCTGTATCCCTTCTAGCCACAACAACCGTCATCAGAGGGGTCCTTCCGCCGCTGTGTGAACACGTGCCCCGCAGAAGCCGCAGCAGATCTCCGGTAACGGCGCCGCGATGATGGGCGGCAAACCGAGCGCGATCGCCGCGGGCGTCTGCGGCGCGATCTTCATCGGGTACTGTATCTATTTCGACAGAAAACGACGCAGCGATCCGAACTTCAGAACCCGACTGCGTGAACGTGAGTCATGTGATCTCACTAATCTAAGCGAGTGTTTAGATTACACACTAGTGTTGGGGAGTAACTAGCTAACATGTAGAATTACGTAATTTAATTATAAAATAAGTGTAACTGTAATGTTACCATTACAAATGGTAATTACAGTTGCTTATGAAAATGTTAACGAATACAAAGGAGGTTACATCTGAATATTTTCACGCAGCTTTGATTGATTTCTTTCCCAAATTGCATTGTCTGCTCTAAAATACGAATGTTTCAGAAGTTTAGGACACAAGCTGATCTCAAAGTAAACATAGCGGCTAAAATCTGATTTTGTGGTGGCTGTGCTTTAAAATTATTTATTATGATTATAATCTAACGTTGAAAGACTGACACTAACCAGTGCTGAGTCCTGTAAAGTTAACCCTTATACCCTTAACCCTCATGTTATAACACAAAGTCTTGATGATAACTTGCAGGTCAGTCACGTTCAGACTGTATTTTGACCCCACGATGAATGCTTCATTGAATCGGCTCGTTTGAACGACTCGTTTGAACGGTTCACCTGTGAGTCATAAGGTGATCATGCTTTCATGATCAGATCAGTCGGTATGAATGATATTTACACCCTGATGTTAAGTGTGTAGATCATATCGGCTGAATCGAATCCAGTGTCTTGGGTTTTAGTGTCTGTCTCAAGATTGAACTCAAGTTGCAGGCAGCTACTTGATATGTATGTGCATTAAATATGTTACTATAAAATAAATAAATATAGGTATCTGTAGTTTGATGTGCTGTTCTCTTTTTTTTTTTTTGTTTTTAGGGAGGAAGAAGCAGAGAGCTGCTCAAAATAAATCTGGACTCGCTGAAGTAGGTCAAACATCTGATCACGTTTAGAGGTTTATGAATCTTCTCATTAATTCAGTAGATATTCCTCGAGAGCAGGAATTTTTTTCAAGCATTAAATGCCACAGACCCCCAAATATGATCAACCTCATGCAAAAAACAAAAAAAAAAAAGTATATTTTTAAAATTTAAGACTGCTATATATTTTCATGTATAAAGACCTAAGATTCTGTTACGTTACATTATTATACATTATTATTTTTCTAGCACTATATAGTACTTTGCTGTTATGTTTTTTTAAAGCATTTAAACATTTAAAAAGCATTTATAAGTAAGTAATATTTTACTTATTTATACATATTTAACAATTTAATTAGTTAGATCTTATTTTTATTTATTTTGTTTATTTATTTATATATGCATTTTTCATTTAAATCATTTTATATTTTAATCAATTTATTTCTATTTTAATAATTATTTAGTTAGACTTTATTGTTAATTATTTATTTTGTCTAATCAGTTTTATTGTATTCATCTTCTCATTTTAATCTTTTTTTCTTTAATTTATTTTAAACAAATTTAGTTAGTTGGCTCTTTATTTTATTTTGATCTTTTTTATTTTTTTATTTATTTAAATATTTGATTTAATTTTAATACATTTTCTAAAGTCAAGTTATTTAGTTAGTCAGATCTTTTTATTTATTTATTATTATTATTATTTGTATTTATTTATTATTTTTTTACAGTTTTTCTGTAAACGTTTCCTCAAACTCCCTAGCACTCCATTTTAGTCCTTTGTCCTCAGTTTTAAAAGCTTCTCTAGAGCTTAATGAAGGTGATGAAGTTTGGGTCTTTATCTTTCAGCTGCCAGATCTTAAAGATGTGGCAGCCGTGCAGAAGTTTTTCCTGGATGAGATTCAGCTGGGCGAGGAGCTGCTGGCTCAGGGTGAGATGTTTGTCTCTGTATCTTTTTCACGAGGTTTCTAGATCTACTCTGCATGCCACGAAGTGTTAAACTCCCGAATGTGTTCCTCAGGAGACTATGAGAAGGGTGTTGATCACCTGACCAACGCCATCGCCGTCTGCGGCCAACCACAGCAGCTCCTGCAGGTGCTTCAGCAGACTCTGCCTCCGCCCGTCTTCCAGATGCTGCTCACCAAACTACCCACGATCAGTCAGGTGAGCTCAACATACATATCATACCCATCACTGCATTCTTTAAAACCCCCCGAGAGCTGCGTGTCGCTTCTGGGACAAGTACGAATGCTAGAGAAAACCAAGAACTTTCCAAAGCTACGTCTTCACAGTGACTATTAGCTATTTCACCTCTTGAACATTGAAATACCTGACAACTAATCATTGACAACATGCTGTTAGTAGAGAATTTGTATTAATGGAATAGTTCACCCAGACCTAAAAAATTGCACACTCGGATCATCCAAGATGTGGATGAGTTTGTTTCTTCATCAGATTTGGAGAAATGTAGCATTGCATCAGTGCCTCAGCAATGGATGCTCTGCAGTGAATGGGTGCCGTCAGAATGAGAGTCCAAACAGCTGATAAAAACATCACAATAATCCACAAGTAATCCACACCACTCCAGTCCATCAGTTAACATCTGGAGAAGACAAAAACTGTGTGTTTGTGAGAAACAAAACAAAACATTTTTAACTTTAAACCATTGCTTCCAGCTAAAATATGAGTCCATAATCCATAACAACATTTCCTCCAGTGAAAAAGTCTCTCACATCAGAATCCAGCCACATATTTGTTTAGAGCTGTTTAAACAGTGCTTGATCTGTGCAGATTTCTCTCCTGATTCAGACCAGATGACTTTTACACTGGAGGAAGTGTTATTATGGATTTGTTTCAGCTTTTGTCTTCTCAAGTCATTAAG